AGAGAAGGAAAATTAGTTTTACAAACACTAAAGCTAAAATTTTAACATTGGTAAACTTACACCCTATTTCTAAAGAAAAAAAAAAAAAGATATAGGGCAACATTGGTAAGCGGTGGATCTAATTATTAGGTTATTTATTTGGTGAATACTAGTATATTGCTTCTAATGGACTTAAATTATCATGTCTTAATTAAGGACCATGATTGGCATACACTCATTCATACCACATTCCATTACATATTCTTTTTTCCGTTAGTTCTCACACACTCCATTAGTCTCCATTTCACTTTCACTGTGTTCTTACCTTCTTCTTTTTTTTTCTCTCTCTCTCTCGGTCTAGGTCTGGGAGAGATCCCAGACCTGGGTTTTGGAGAACCCACCTCTTCTTCTCTGTCGATTCTTCTCCCTTCTGTAGAATTAGACCATTTCCTTGCATCTCATCATCATCACAACCTCCACCTCCATCACCATCCTCAATCACCATCGAAATAAAAGGAGAGGGGCAGAACCATAAAAGAAGCGGCAAAAAAAAAAAAACAAGGTGAAGCAGATTTTGTTTCGGAGAAGGAGAAGAGTTCGGCAACTAAAAAAAAAAGGGGTCTTCTCTTAGTCCTTTTCCCCATCCTTGGCCTTCCCTCTTTCCTTCCGCTTGGCTTTCTTCCTAAAAACGGGGGGGGGTTCTTTTGGTTTTGAGTCCTTTTCCAAATCCTCCACATCCACAGGAGAGCTCAGATCTGGGTTCTCCAGAAAAACAAAAAAAAAAAAAAAGAAAAAAGAAAAAAGGAAGAAGGTGGGAACCTAGGAGAGACTGACAATTGTCTTGCAGATGATTAGGATAAGGATGGAGGTAAGGAGAAAAATGGATATAATGAGGACAGAAAGGGTTGGAAGAGTTGGGAGATGGCTGAAGAGATGGTAACGGAGTTAAGTATAATTAACGATAAAATAATGACAAAATAACAAAAATTGAAAGGTGTAACGGAGTGTGTGGTGCGGGAATGTGCATGAATCATTATCCCTCAGTTAATTATTATTCAAGAAACACCACCAACTCGGTCGGCCGATGCCCATTAAACTATAGTTTTTGCCACGACATATATGCCCCCTGTTCAAGTGAAGCAATACATTGAAGAAGACCGTACAACAACTCGGTCCCAGAAATTTAAAACGTGAATGAGAAACCCAGAAATTTAAAACGTGAATGAGAAACCCAGAAATTTAAAACGTGAATGAGAAACGTTATCCCAAGCACCTTATAGAACCCCACGTAGTGGCTTCATTCCTCCCTGCATTCCAATTTGGTAGCAAAGAAATTAAAATTAGTTCGATAAGTGATATGGGTAAAAGCGCAGTGCTCATTGTTGGGGGAACGGGCTATTTGGGGAAGAGGCTGGTGAAGGCAAGTCTGGAACAAGGTCATGAAACCTATGTACTCCACCGGCCGGAGATTGGTGTTGATATTGAGAGAGTGCAGATGTTATTGTCGTTCAAGGAGCAAGGTGCTCGCCTTGTCTCCGGTTCTCTGAACGATCACCGGAGCCTTGTTAATGCGGTGAAGTTAGCGGATGTTGTTATCTGTGCAATATCAGGCGTCCATATCCGCAGCCACCAAATTCTCCTCCAGCTCAAGCTCGTTGATGCCATCAAAGAGGCCGGTAATGTTAAGGTGCATGAACATCAATAACATCATACATTTTACAATATTAATTTCTCTTTTAATTTACTAACGAATCTTGCCTTAATTATGAAAATCAAAAAATGAAGTGATCTGTCACGTGAGATTGTGAGAATTTGTTGTGAGAATAGCATTATTAGCTATACTGCTTGTACATACATGTTTCTAAAATATTGTTCGGAAATTTAATTAACTTGGTGTTAATGGATTGAAAGAGATTCCTCCCGTCTGAATTTGGCACGGATCCGGCAAGAATGAAGGATGCAATGGAGCCTGGAAGAGTAACATTTGATGATAAAATGACTGTGAGGAAAGCAATTGAAGCTGCTGGAATTCCTTTCACTTATGTTTCTGCAAACTGCTTTGCTGGTTACTTTCTTGGCGGTCTTTGCCAACCTGGGAAAATACTTCCTTCCAAAGAACATGTCCTCTTTTTGGGTGATGGAAACCAAAAGGGTAAGTTAACCATCTATAAGATACATACATTTCCTATGAAAGGTACAGTCACTGGTAGGTCTATTGGCCGTGTTTATATTGTAACTTATATAAAAATACGGTTTAAATCAAAACACTTAATTTTAAGGTTTTATTTTAGAAATTATGTCTTTTAATTTGATTTAACTTTACTAATGACTTAAACAATTTAATAATAATTTTTCTCCAAATGAAGTAAAAAATTTTAAATTCAAATAATATGATATGCAAATATAATACATTAAAAAATATGAAAAGTTATCTTTCATTAAACAATTCAAAATAAAAATAAATAAGATAAAAACTTGATTTAACTTCTACTAGCCTCTATTTTGACCAGAAGTATATAACCTTCCAGAGAAACTAAAACAAGGTTTTAAAAATGTAGATACAACTTTTAAAAAAATTGTGTTTGCCTACTTTAATCTAATATTTGAATATTGTATGATAGTAAATACTAATTAATTTATATATACACAGTTTTTTTCGTTTGGTTAGAAAGTGACTTTTTATTGTCTTTGATTTCTCTATTTTGAGCAGCAATATATGTTGATGAAGATGATATAGCGATGTACACGATCAAGAGCATAGACGATCCTCGTACCCTGAACAAGACCCTGTACATAAGGCCACCTAAAAACATCTTATCTCAGAGGGAAGTTGTGGAGATCTGGGAGAAGCTGATAGGAAAAGAGCTGCTTAAATCCTCAATTTCAAAGGAAGAATTTCTGGGTACCATGAAGAGCAAGGATTATGCAGAGCAAGTGGGATTAACACATTACTATCATGTTTGCTATGAAGGATGCCTTACCAACTTTGAAATTGGAACCCAAGGAGAAGAAGCTTCTAAGCTTTACCCAGAAGTAGAGTACACTTCTGTGGAGGAGTATCTCAAACGCTATCTATGATAAATTCAAAAATTAATGTGCTATATCTACATTATCAACTGGTGACCAAGGGTTGTCTGGTTCAATAAAGCGTTGTTGCTATGTTGTTGTTCAAGATTTTCTTATGCATGCACCCTTCAAGTGAAATGAATTATGTTGCACAGAGTAGAACTCCCAAACATCTTAAATTTGAATCCTAGTTTGTCGACTTGTAGTAATATCTTACTAGCAAATTACATGTTGGAAGATGTAAACCTTCCAACGAATCTGGCTGAATTCAATAATTGATTTATTAACTATTAGTCTAATTTCATTTTAGTTTAGAAAGTTAGTTTTTTTTTTTAAATAGTCTATAAATTTTGCAAAATATTTCAGAGTAGCTTATTGTATAAAAATTCTATTAATTTTAACAAAAAAAAAACAAAAAAATTAAATTAAAATAAAAACAGAGTAATTCAATCAACAAAATTGTTCACAACAGATTATACCAATTATTAAAATATATCAATAATTGTAGTTTCAATTACAAAAGAGAATTGTTAAAAAAAGAAAACTGAAATAACATGTGATAAAAATTATAATTCTTCAAATACTAAAAAAGAACTTATTATCTTTACAAAATTAGTTTTATCTCAAAATTAATTTCAAATAGTAAAAATTCATAAAAGATATAGTTGAATGTCAATTTGATCAAATAGAGTGAGTTAACAGACTATACAAAATTGAAATAAAAGTGAAAAATATTAGATGAATTTGAAAATATTTAAAGATAGTAGACGAAAACAGAAAGAAATACAATATTGGACTATTTATTAAATTAAACCAACCAATACTTAACAAAACTAGAAGGGGGGGACCGAACCATCAACCATATCTAAGGGCACCGACCTTATTTCCACCCTCTTTTGCACTTTTCTTTCTTTTGGCTAAAATCCATGTTCCTTTCGATTTAATCAATGCTTCCAGATTACTCTCGCAATCTCCATTATTCGATCGCCATTGTATTCTATTCATAGGAAAGGAACATTGTGATTAATGCAGTTTCCGGATTATGCATTTCCTTCTGTATTCCTCTCCTCTTAACAGTCAACCTTCTGTCCTCCAGTCCTTTCCCACTACCGTAAAACACATTTCGTCTTTCCCTTCAAATTCATTTCTTAACGATTAACAGGGTGAGACCCGTTTGCTTCCTGGGTTGCCCGAGGAAATGGGCCTGACGGAATCGGATCTTAAAAACGCGGCCCTCCTGGGCCCCCTGGGCCTGGCTTCTCTACTGCTCCACCAGGTGCTACCGGGCCTCCCATGATGGGCCTGCCAAAACCAGGTTAAGGGACGATTTGGATGGAGGATGTCGAGGACTCAGTCGTGTTGATGATCAACACGTGTGATGATCTCGAGCGTCCGTTCATTGAGCATTTGGCCAACGTAATTGGGAAACCGACGTTGAGCGTCGTCGGTCTACTGTCGCCGGAACAGTTCTGGAAATCGGCGCACTCCTTGCTTCACCATCGTGAAATCCGAAGCAACCGGCGGCGATCAAACGTGACCGAAGATGAGGTGATCGAGTGGTTAGACTAGAAGCTACATGGATCGGTGCTGTACGTTTCATTCGGCAGCGAGGTGAACCTCACGATGGAGGAGCACCCACAACTGGCTGACGCCCTGGAATCATCCGACCGCACGTTCATCTGGGTGATTCAACCCGGATCCGGAAGGCCGGGTCCTCCGCCTCAATTCTTCGAAAACAAACTCGATTCGGGGGGAGAAGATGACTGTTACTTCCCTCATGGCATGGATCAAAAGGGGTCTCATAATTAAGGGATGGGCACCGCAATTGCTGATACTTAGCCACCCATCGACGGGAGGGTTTCTGTCGCACTGTGGATGGACTTCGACGATGGAGGTAATCGGACGCGGGGTCCCGTTACTAGCATGGCCAAGCAGGGTCTACCAATACTACAACGCAAAGCTGATGGCGCGGCATCTGAAGGTTGGGTGTTTGATAACCGACGATATGTCCCAGACGGTGAAGAATGATGGTATAACGAAGGGGATAGAGACGCTAATGGGAGATTAAGAGATGAAAAAATGAGCTGCGAATCTTGGCTCCAAATTCCACAGGGCTTTCCGGTAAGTGCCGCGACTTCTTTGGATGCCTTTAGGGACTTTATCAGCAAAAATGAACATTAACAATCAACCATAAACCATGAATATATATATATATATATATGCACTTGGCCCGTGTGCCCAATGACTAGAGTCACTGAAAAGTGCACATCCCTCCAGGGCGGTTCCATGATAAAACTGTTCAAAAAAAATAAATAAATATATATATATATTTTTCATTACCTATTTTCAAAAAAAAAAAAAGAGAATATATATATGTTGTTTGATGGCATTTTCTTTTGACCAGAAAGACCTAATTTCAGGTTGTTGATGTTAGAGTAGAGTAACCTTTGATACTGATTGAGAATT